AAATCTTATCATATTGCCAAAAATGACATTTGGTTCCTACTTGGAATCGCGTTTCGGTACCCAGGCCTCTTCAAAAATGTGTGAATGAAACAAAACACAACTCCAGGTCTGTTTTTGATGAAGTAACAACATTCTAACCTGGTTTAAACACTCACAGGAGGCAATTTTGCGTAATATAGACCCATTAAAGCAATGATTTTAACCACATTTGAGAGAAATTAGTCGTCTAGCCTGTCATACTTACTTAGTGAAAATAATAAATAATCACAACCAAAAATCTGGACACAATGAAGTCAAGGGATACGATTTCCCTTCTTCTTTTTTGTTACAGGAACTCTGACTTGCTCCTCCCACAGACTTCATCAATACCAGTCCCTGAGGATGACAAATGCACTTTTAGTCAATAAAGCCTCATCTGGCATTGTTTGATAGAGTGCCATCGGCTGACGTGTTTCTGATCCGACCATTTGAGATAGTCCACATTTGGTTTCTCTTAAACCGGAAAACAACACAACGCAACACAAAAATCTGATCTCTGAAAGTGATCAGATGAATCCAACAGCACAAAACTCGTTCTACAGCTTTTGTTGACTCAAGAAAAGTTCAAAAGTTTGGGAAAATACAGAGATTTGAACCGAGCTAGAACAACTCAAGAACTTGCTGTGAGGTCAGAAATGTCTATGACTTCACAATACTTGATGTATTAATTGCTTTGATTAGTTTGAAATAATGTATCGTTTAAGTACGGAAGCTGAGAGGGGTCACAACAAACGCAAACGCCGCAACAAATACAAATGGGACAACACAACAAAAAGCCACAACACACCAAAAAAAAAAAGCCACAACGGAAATGACCGCGGGACTCTATTTTAATGCAAACGCTACAACAAATACAAACGCCACAACACAAACGCAAATGCCACAACACATTAAAAAGCCACAACACATTAAAAAGCCACAACGGAAGTGACCGCGGGACTCTATTTTCCGACGGACCGATCAAGCGGCAAGTGAAGAAGAAGAACTACAACGTGAAACGAATAATGATAAAACAATAAATTACTTTAACTTACGTTTACAACTTTTCCCATTCCTTTACTTTTCATGTTGTAGTTCTTCTTCACTTGCCGCTTGATCGGTCCGTCGGAAAATAGAGTCCCGCGGTCACTTCCGTTGTGGCTTTTTGATGTGTTGTGGCTTTTAAATGTGTTGTGGCGTTTGTATTTGTTGCGGCGTTTGCATTAAAATACAGTCCCCTGATCATTTCCGTTGTGGCTTTTTTTTTTTTGGTTTGTTGTGGCTTTTTGTTGTGTTGTCGCATTTGTATTTGTTGCGGCGTGTGCGTTTGTTGCGACCCCTCTCGGCTTCCGTATTTAAGAGACTATACACGATTATTTGTGATGGCAAAACTCCCATCTGGCCTCTGAAAGTTGAGTACAGTCGTCACTCACTATAACCCGGTTCACCTTTCGTAGATGGTTTTTTTTTAGATTTTGCAGGGTTTTTTTTGTTTTGTTTTTACAGTGTATGAACGCACATTGTTTTCCTCCCCCTGCGTCCTGATTAGCTAAGGGACTGTAGATCACTGTCAATCAATGATGTGTGAATGAAACAAAACACAACTCAAAGTATGTTTTGACATTCTAACATGGCTAAAAACTCACCAGAGTCAATTTTGCGTAATATGGGTCCATTAAGAAACCTTCAAAAAAGACTAAGTGCTCTCCGTGGAGCTATTCACCAACTCCATACGCGCTCATAAATTCATGCAGGCACTGGAGGCGGTGCAGGTGCAGAGTCTTGCCCAAGGATACAACGGTACTTTGGGTCATTATTCGTGAGGATCAATCTGCCAAGCTCACGGTAAAGGTTAGTGCACAAAAGTCTCGACCAACTCTGAGTAACAACAGAGCTTAGGAAAGTTTGATACTACAAAAACCAAGTGAAAAGTCTGTAAATGTCCAAACCACGTCCACAGTAGAGGAGAGGCACTAGAGTGATCTCTGGTAGAGCCAGGACAGACAATATCGCAGCTGTTTTGGCAAATTTTGAATGTCAAGTTTATTGTCCTGCAGAAAACAGTGTGAAAAAGGCTAAAAAAATATAGTTATGAATAAAATGATAATAAATCTGCCATATCATTTTTGAAGGAGCTCTTTGTAGCCTGCTCTCTTACAGTTTTAATCACAACTGAACCTGCGTTGGCAGAGCCTTAACCTGCAGACAGAGACATATTTAAGTTTGTCTCATTTTCATTTTATGTACTACAGCAGAAAAAGCACTGTTTCATGTTTGGCTGCAGGTGCTGGGGTTTAGGTAGTGACCATTCAGAGAGGCAATTTAGGTTTAAATCAACTGGATTTAAGCATTGAAACTAGCAACACAAATGACAGACTCACTGAAGAACCTAAACACCAAATTACCAAGCAACTTGTCTGCCATGTCCAGAGTTTTTGTTATTAAGAATAAATCTGTATGATAATTCTTCAGTAAAAGCCATTTGATTTTCTAGGGACATGGCTGAATCATCTTTTTGAAATTTAAAATCTTACATTCAGTTCCTTTAATAAAAACAGATAATGGGAATTTTCTGAACTTTTCCAGTAAATTTTGCAGTCTGTTAATGTTTTATGCGACACTTCTGGGTATCATGAAGAAACTGCAGATATGATACATACCTTGATACATAGGCCACGATACAATACACATCTCAATACAATACATACGATACATATCTCGATACGGTGCACTTTCGATTTGATACGATCCAATAATGGCCAAATCGTGGCTGTGATACTAAAAGTCTTTGTTCAACCACTTCTTGTGCAAAGTGAATATAAAATGCGCCCATTTAAATCATCAAAACAGTGAAAATGTCAAAAAAATTTCACATAAACAAGTTTCTTTTCTCTTAACAAGCTACAAAACTGTAGCTGGAATAAAATAACTGAGTAAAATATACCAAAATAACACTCTTGCCGATATATCGATGCAGCAGCCCACAATATCAATACTTTATCATCATGATATTTTGATATTTTTGCACACCCCTAACTTCAAAGCTTATAAGTGCCTTTATTATGCTATTTTCTGATCTATGCTATAACTAGGGGTGTGCAAAAATATTGAAAAATTGATATATCATATTGTTTAATTTGATGATACAGTATCAATATTGTGGGCTGCTGTATCGATATATCACCAAGAGTATTTTTAGGTATATTTTACTAAATCATTTTGTGTTAGAGCGACAATTGTGTTGACATTTTCACTGTTTTGAGTAAAATGGGTGTGTTTTGTATTAACTTTGCACAAATTTAGTGGATTTAGTCGACTTTTAGTATCACAACCATGATTTAGTCTTTGTTTTTCACTGAATAGTTGATTTGAAATATGTCATATCAAATCGTATTGAATCAAAAGTGCACTGTATCAAGAAATGTATCGTATATTGGTCTGTGTATCGAGGTTTGTATCGTATCGGCCACTTCTTAATGACACCAAGCCTTATCTATATAACGCTTCATTTTCACTAAAATCATTTGGATAATTTCAGCTCTGGAATTGCCAATATCTACTACACAAAAGGTAAAAGGAGCTGTTCACTTGAAAACCACAGCTTCATCGCGAGGTGGAACAGAGCATTCATTTTGAGCTTTGGAGATGCAGACAGACTAATAAACGGTTACTCCAACATGTGTTAACAAACCACAACACAACTGCAGGTATGTTCTTGAGGAAGTAACAACATCATAACATCTCTTAAAGCTCATAAGAGTAGATTTTCTCTAATATAGGAGCTTTAAATCTTAAAAATATTGAGCTGTACATTTTTGTCAATATTTCCTGATCTCTGCCGGTGATTGGTGCAGCCCACACTGTTCTTCGGGCCCGGGTGCTGACAGCTCGGCTCATGTGACGTGACAGCCGTGACACTGGCCTCTCCGCAGCTCCGCTCTGCCTTCCTGCCCGGCCACATTGTGCTACAGTCGGAGGCCCTTACATAAGTTGAGAGGAATTTCGCTGATGCCGGGGACAAATGAGAAAACAATGTGTGTCTGTGTACATGTCAGAGGCTCCTCGCTGCTCAGGCTTTTTAAAGTGACAGCTCCCTCGTGAAGAGCAAGAGAGAGGCAGTATGGGCGGAATGTGGAAAAAGATAGAAAAACAGCGCACTTCCTGGGTTGTCTGTCTTCAAACAGGTTTTCCACTCTGCTCGGGAATAGCTGTAATCACAAAAACATGAAGGCTAAAGCCAGAGGGGCAGCTGTGGCCAAGCAGGCTCGTGGAACTAATGCGCCCGACAACGACGTTCATTCACAGGACATGAGGAATATTGCAGCTGGAAGGAATCCGTTTGCGCAGAAAATCACCATTTGCATTATAACTTACAGATGCAGCGTACGCTCAATAAATGTGGAAATATCATGAGGCTGTGACCCTGTTAAGAGGCACTTCATAGCCCTGACCAGAAACACTTAGCACTCAGTAGAGAGCTGAATGTAAAGAGATGGTCCAGTCATTTATCATTATAACGTGTCTGCCAAACGGTTCATATCAAGCACCGTTTGAAAACAATATTCAGGTATACAGTTACTAAAAAAACTTGACGAAACTAAAACCAAAGGCTGGACTAAACAACAAAGGATTCAAAGACCAGATTGAATTTCAGGATAACCAAGGGCACCCTGCCTGTACCAGGACCAAAATCATGCCCAAACTTGAATTAATATTTGACGATACTGACATGAAAGTTTTGAAATGGCAAGAACCATGAACCACAAAAGCCTTTTACTCATAAGACAAATCGATGCCCAGAAAGAGATCAGTGCCAAATATCACTTCATTTTCAATATCAATATCAGACCGAAACTACTATCTGTGGAAACCCAATGTCACAAACCTCAGAGAGAGAAGCCCAGTTGTGCTATAAGCACATACAGGTTTGATTTGCTCAGGCGTTTTCCGTCAGCGTCTACAGTGAGCTCTGTGTGTCTTACCTCCAGCACCGGTCCTGCCCCCAGGATGATCTGTTCCACTCCGCTGGCGTAGCCCTTCTGACTGAGCGCCGTCAGGTGGTGGATCAGGAAGTTGGTGCTCTGGGTCTTCCCGGAGCCGCTCTCTCCGGAGATGACGATGCACTGGTTCCTCTGGCGCTGCAGCATGGCGTGATATGCCACGTCTGCCACGGCGTAGATGTGCGGCTCCAGCGCTCCCAGCGTGTGGTTGTCGTACATTTTCACATACTTGGGGTTGTAGATGGGCAGGAATTTGAAAGGGTTAATGACGATGAGGATGCTGCCCACGTAAGTGTAGATCTTCTCCTGCCTGAAGCGGGAGCGCAGGTTGTCCAGCAGCGAGCGCTCGTTGAGCTCTGGGAGGCAGCACAGGTCTGCGTAGTCCCCCTGAGAGTCAGGCTGAGGCAGGAGGCCCCGCTCCACCATCCTCCTGCGCTCCTCCGTCACCTGGAGCCACATCTGCAGACTGCCTCCATAGTGGATGGAGCCGTCCAGGTTCTTGAGTCGCAGGAGGAAGCGGTAGTCCTCTCCTCCGGACAGAGGCCGGTGCTCCAGGGCAACACGGGGCCACAGCATCATCCTCTGCACGGGGCAGTCGCTGGGGTTCAGGATCCACTCCTCTCCCCCAAACTCCTTCACCTCTGCCAGGACATAGCACTTGGTGCGGTCCAGCCGCAGCCGGTCGATCACCCTCTCGATGGCCTCGGCGGCGGTGGTGGTCTTGCGGGCGCTGATGGGGCAGTAGATGGTTCCTTCGGCCAGGGCGCCCGGGTAGATGCGCACGGTGAACTCTGAGTTCTCGAAGCGCTGCCGTCGCCCCAGGGTGCCCATGCCCCCCACGCCTCCGCCCACGCCATCACGAGCACTCATGGCTCTCCGGCTCCCATCAGCAGCAGGCCGCACTGGCACGTCCTTCACAGGGCTGCGGCTCCTCTTCAGGACATCACCACTGCACAGACAGGAACAAGACAACAGTCAATACTCCACCCTCTGCAACATGACAAGCTCACCGTATTGTACAACATGAGGGTGTTACAGTCTCAAAATGTGCATACGTTGCTACAGCCTTAACCTAGAGCTAGAGACACAAAGAAGTTTCTCATTCTCAGTATATGGACAGAACATCCCTCATGTGAAGCACAGAACCTCCAGAATCCCCTCCCTGAGCTGCAGACGCTGCACTAGCACTGACTCATGATTGGCTGGAGGCGCTGGGCTTTAGGGAGTGAACATTCAAATAGTCCTTTTTGAGAGAGTCCTTTAAGGTTTAAACCAACTAAATTCCAGCATTCTTGTGAAGTTCATTCTGCTTTCTGATTGGACAATCGTCTTGAGAATCAAAACATCCAAATTATATCCAATGTTTTTGTAATTAAGAATAAATCAGCAGTACAATCGTTATCAGTAAGAGCTATATTTGATCTGAACATGTCGAGCTTGTATCTGGGGACACAGTTAAGTCATGTTTAAGGAATGCCATCAATTTTGGCCAATTAAAATAAAAATACAACAGCAAGAACCAAGCAAAAATCACAGTCGTGTCATCTGCTAGACTGTTACACTCATCAGATTATGACAGAGTGTTTGCGCTGTTATGTAAGCGACTGGGGGCCTGACAAACACGCCCATGAAGGATAAAGGGGAAGTCATGAGGATCTGCGGGATTACCATTATCACACACACACACACACACACACACTGGCTGGCCCGTACACACTCCAGCAGCTGCCGTCTCCAATCAAAGCACACCATTCACACGTCCCCGCTTTGATACACCAACGAGCCCGCCGCATCCCTCCGACAGACACTACTGCGCTGTGTTCTCGGTAAAAAGAACGAGTCCGGAGAATCATGAATGAACACTGCACATCGCTAATGGAGAGACACTACAGACGTAAACACTCATCTAAATGTTAATCATGCCTCGCAGTTCTTTCGTAGACCGTCTTCTGAAAATAGAAACATCTCCATCTGATCATTATGGGCTATTCAGGGAGAAATAATGACGTTTTACAATGCGTTTCAGGTGCTTGTACACATATTTTGCATCATTAAAAGAACCCACATTGCCGTTTTTTCTTCTGATCTGTGTTATAATGTTGTTTCCTCATCACATTAAACAGACTTGGAGTTGTGTTTTGTCTCATTCACACATGTTTAACACACAAAACCTGCAGATTTAGGCTCAGTTCTTCTCTCAAACAGAAAAACACTGTTCCACCTTGTGATGTGGTAAAACAGCAAGTGCTCCCGAGTGTTTTTAAACTCCACACACCTTCATTATTAGAATTATTTGGATAATTTCACGCAGTAAAAGGTAGCCATTAACGCAAAAATTACTTCTTCATGACATCACAAGCAAAGCATTTTGAGCTTTGGAGATGTGTACAGACAACTCCAGGTCTGTTTTTGAAGAGGTAACAACATTCTAACATGACTTAAAGCTCACAAGAGTCATTTGTGTGTAATATAGGACTAGGGGTGGGCAACAACATTGAAATATCAATATATCGTATCGTTTAATGTGTTGATACAGTATCAATATTGTGGGTTGTTGTATCGATATAGGTATATTTTACTGAATTATTTTGTGTAAGGGCTAGAATTGTGTTGATATTTTCACTGTTTTGAGTAAAATGGGCACATTCAATATTAACTTTGAACAAACTTCTTGGATTAATAAAGGCTTGTAGTATCACAACCATGATTAGGGGTGTGCAAAATATTAAAATTAGGGCTGGGTATCATTCAGAAGTTGCTGACACGATACAAACCTCGATACAGTGCACTTTCTGTTCAATACAATATATTTCAAATCGATTTGATACAATTCAACAAAAAATAATGGCTAAAAATGATGGTTGTGATACTAAAAGTCTTTGTTGAACCACTTCTTGTGCAAAGTTCATATGAAACACAAACATTTTTAATCATCAAAACAGTGAAAATGTCAAATACGTTCCATAAACGAGTTTCTTTCCACTAAACAAATAACAAAACTGTAGTACTGTAACAAAATAATTTTGTAAAATACACCAAAAAATGCTCTTGCTGATATTGTATCATCACATTAAACAATACGAAATATCGATATTTCTATATTTCTGCACAACCCTAATATCGATATATCATATAACGTAATGTGATGATACAGTATTGATATCACGGGCTGCTGTATCGATATATCACCAAGACGTTTGCATTACTTTATTAAAAAAAACCCGGAAGGCCAGGACAGGACCTGAAAAACAGACTTTTGGTCACCCTATAGCCGTTACGCACAGCAACCTTCATTCGGTTAGTCGATAAAAAATTAACGTAATCGACAAAATTCTTGATGATCAATTATCGATTAATCGACTAATCATGCCCATCCCTAGATACGATGCATACCTCGATACATAGGCCACGATATGATACACATCTCAATCCAGTGCACTTTCGATTCAGCAGTGCACTTTCAATAGTCTTTTATTGAACCGATTTGAAATATATAATATCGAATGGAAAGTGCACTTTATCAAGATATGTATCGCATCATGACCTATGTATCGAGGTATGTATCGTATCGGCAGCTTCTTAATGAAACCCAGCCCTAGCCATGATTTTGCCTTTTTTTTTTTCTTTTTTTTTTACTGAACTGTATCGAATCCATTTGAAATATATCGTATCAAATCGTATTGAAAGTTCACTGTATCGAAAAACGTATAGTATCGTGGCCTTCATATAGGAGGTATGTATCGTATCGGCAACTTCTTAATGATACCCAGCTCTAGTCATGATTTAGTCTTTTTTTTCTGAACTGTATCGAATCCATTTGAAATATATCGTATCATCATATTGAATCCAAAGTTCACTGTACTGAAAAACGTAATGTATCGTGGCCTATGTATCGTATCGGCAACTTCTTAACATACCTAGCCCTATCTAAAACCTTTACTAATGCATGATCATTTTTTCTAAGACCATCTTCTCAAAATAGAAACGTCCCCGTCCGATAACTGATGGACTATTCAGGGAGCAATAACGACTTTTTCCAATGCGTTCCAGTTGCGTGTACACACATTTTGTACCATTAACATAAAAATAAATAGCCGCACTACGACTCGTTTGCGTTTTGGAGCTCGTTCGTTAGCCGTTAGCAGATTTATAAGCCCGGGTGGATTTGTTTAGCGCTCCGTTGGTGACGATCGCTCAGAATTGCAGCGTTTGACGATCGCGACGATAGGAATAGTACGTCTGATTGTGATCCGCTGCCAATGATGAACTCGGGTCTTACAATAGAGCGGTCCACAGCCAACCCTCTGACACAGTAAAGTCAAAGCATGTGGTCTGGAGCACGGTTCAGACTTTGGGGGAGGAAAAAGAACTGCTTTGTGTCAAATGGCAATGATTAAGCATGCGTATTGTTTATGTTTAAAGAATCGCTATTGAAACCCATTTGTTTTTCGTTTTTTTGTAGCTGCAGCATGTAACTTTCACGAGGCAAAACGTCACCTGAATGATTGCACTCAAACAGAAAGTTGAAACCATACTTTGGAACATTCCCCGTGAAGATAGATACGTTTTATGCCAAACGGTGGAACGTTATACAGCCAAAGGAACAACATTTCTGTGGAAACAAGCAGAACCAGGCCAAGAAAGAGGCAGGTTTGTGGAGATGCAAGCCCGCTCACAGTAAGGACACGTGTTTTTTAGTGCAGGAAACACGACCAAAAGTAAAAATAGAGTTACATTTTCTGTTACATACTGTGGTTTTAAGGTATGGAAGATTATTTGCTTCATCAGATTTTCATTTTTTAATGCTGTTGACTTTCTCACTTTGAATTTTTGTAACTCTGAAAAAACATGTTTGGATTATTTTTATTCTGAATTTTAGTTGCTGAAATATTAAGTGTACAGTTTCAAAGTTTTTAAAATTCAATATAAAAAACATACATTTAAAATATTCAGCATGAATACTTTCAAGTCTTCAAACTAAACAATCAAAGTTCGCAGTGAAAAAAAAAAAAAATTATAATTTTTTTTTTTTTTTTTTTTTAAATCGCAGGAACTATGAGATTTAAAAAATTAAAAGAAAAAAAAAATTTAAAGAAAAAAAAAAGAAAAAATAGAAAAAAATATAATAAAACTGAAAAAAATATAAAATAAATAAAGATCAAAGATTCCAAGGCCTAAGTAATCGATCTATTGATTTGAGGGCTTGAAAAATTTTGTGCTGAATATTTAAAAAGGTGAAATTTTTATTTTGAATTCGAAACATAATGAAGAAGTATACTTAAAATTTCAGCAACTAAAATTGTGAGTTTAAAAATTCAAAGTGAGAAATCGGCAACGGCATTTAAAATTCAAAATCTGGAACAAATTATTTTCCATATTAAGGCTAAAAAAATAAAAAATCTGGATTGATCAACATGAAAATAAATGCAATGTCTAGTGTTTTATCATTTTTCAACATGAGTTTTTTTTTTTTTCACTTTTTAAAATGTATTTTAAATGAAAATACAGTATGTCATGTACCAGCGAGTAAAAAGGCTCATTCCCACCTCGAGTCCCTGGACGGGGTTTAAACACAGACGAGATGATCAAGGACATTTTATCGCTGCTTCCGGTTCCAGGAGTGACAACAGTCTTACTAAACGCAGCGCTGACTTCATTTGAGCCTTATTAAAAAGGAGTAAATGGGTCACTTCAAAAGCTCATAATTGGCAGAGCTCGGAGTGAGAGGAGGAAGCCGGAGCGGAGCACGTGTCGGGGGCACGGGTACAAAAGGCTCCCGCTGGGGGCACGAGTCAAGGCTGCCTCCTGTCCCACCATTTCCTCTCCCCTGGTGAACACGCCAGCTCGCACCACAGCTCTGCTAATGAAGCCCTGCACACAGACGGGACCAGGCGCTGGATTTGCTTCATTTGTAGCTTCTGTCTTCTCATCAAACTGTACAAATGCAAA